TCTCTCAAAACCCTCTTTCCCCCCTCTCCCCCCTTATAAAATTTTTTACACAAATCCTTTTGGGTTTTTTTTTTTTTTTTTTTTTTTTTTTTTTTGTTTCTCCGTATTTGTATGTACTTCAGTGAAAATTGTTTCAGGATACCATTTGATAGCTTGATTAATTATTCCAGTGATGCAAACTTGTATTTCCCCGTGTGTCGCTTAGGCCCAGCTGATTCACGACCGGAACACGGCGTCTCATTCTGCAAGCAACGACAAAGCAGCCGGCGCCGCGCCCGAGCACGTCCACATGACGTGGACCAAGGACAAGCTGCTGAACGAGAGGAACAAGAACAGAGAAGGCATGGCAGTGAAGGACATGTTCAACATGAAACCGTAAGTAGAACCAGCAGAACGTGATTAGAGAGAATTAAAATCCCTTATCGCAACCCAAATGGAAGCGGTTCAGCTCCCATGTTTGGCGTCTTAATGAACCTTTTAACTGGATTTTGAGAAGTGTGTTCAGTCGACCTTGTCTGTTTGGTTTTTCAGTTCATTGAGCCTCTAACATTAACAAGGACTGTCTTTTCAGTGTATTCATAGTTTTCTGGTTTAAAAATATTTTTGAAAGAATAATATTTTGGTGACAACTTTGAATGATTGTGCTTTTTTTTGTTGTTGTTTTTGCTCCTTTCCCACAGTGAGTGGGAGAATCTGTAAGTTGTTCCGTCTTTCAGCTTGTTTTGGTTGCATGCTTTGAAACTGTTGCATGCGTGCCTGTGTAATTCAGTTCGCCTTAAGGGGAGGGAGGTGTGCATGATGGCAAAAATAGCTTTTAAATTCAATGCGAGTTTACTTGCAAACGGTATAATCACAGTTGTGGCCATGCACGTTTCGCTTCATGCCGATGCCAGCTTTACAGCGTCGCCCCTCGCTCGTAGCCCGACATTTTACTTGGCGGCACGGTTATTAATGCGATTTTGCTGCAGCAACCAGTCGAATGTGCGGCGGATGCACACAGCTGTGAAGCTGAATGAGGTGGTGAAGAAGAAATCCAAAGGTTCCGAGTTGGTCCTGCTCAACATGCCGGGCCCACCGAGGAACAAGAAAGGCGACGAGAACTGTATCCTTTTTGATTATGATGTCCGTGTCGTTTACCACGTCTGGTGCTCATCCCCAGCAGTCTCTGGGCGAGAGGCGGAGTTCACCCTGCACAGGTCGCCAGTCCATCGTAGGGCAACACAGAGAAACGCAGGACAAATAACTACACACACACACACACACACACACACACACACAACGGGGCAACTCGCAGAGATGATTGACCTAGCAGTCAGGTTTTTGCATTGTCAGTCTGTCATTTAATATGGAAATGTATTTGATAATGTGTGGAAGAATGAGTGTAACCTTCAAAATAAAATCAAAAATTGTTTGTATGGCACAACAAGGCAGTTCGAAGAGTTTTATATCGTGAAAACACAACAAACAACTGAAACATGACATTTTTCCAAGCATTGTCATTCCAAATCGAAATGTTGTTGGTGTGTCATCTATTATAGTACAAAAGTAACTCTAAACAGGTGGCTTTTTAGTCTAGGTCTAAAGAATCTCAGTGTTTCAGCTGTTTTACAATTTTCTGGATGTTTGTTCCAGGTCTGTGGTGCATAAAGCTAATTAGAAATTGGATGAAGCAGCTGATGTGTACGATTTGTCCTTAACCACGGTGCGTTTCTCAGACATGGAGTTCTTGGAGGTTTTAATGGAAGGCCTGGACCGTGTGCTGCTGGTTCGTGGAGGAGGTCGGGAGGTCATTACCATCTACTCTTAGCGTCTGGTTGCTCTCATTCATTTCACATTTGGAGGAAACTTGACGACGCAGTGGGAAACCAGGCTGGAGGTTAACAAACGCCACGGCGGTAATGCTGGGACAGATCTCTCCTTCCACAGTGCCGCAGACGGAAGAAGTCGGTGTTTCAGTGTTGCGGTCCTGCTGCAAGGGGAGCGGGACTTGTCTGCTTGTAGAGAAGGCTCTCCATCGCTCCTCACCTTGTTGCTGTTTTCACTCTTGCATCACGTGGCCACACTGAAGAAAAAACGTCCTGCATGCTTTCTGAAAGAACTGACCTTTCACATGGACGGCGTCTGATCCAGCAACGACCGTTTTCCTGGGGAAGAACATCTTCCTGTCTGCATGCACCATCAGCTACTACAGGTTCACAGTGAAATGGAGGCCAAACGAACATTTATTTATTTCAGAGCCAGTTTCAGATGCATTTGGAACTTTTCTCAGACCATATAGTTTCTCAAAAACTGATTAGTCTCACAAAAGGGTTTCATTACGGAGAACGCATTCAAAAGTATTGATGACGAGCTAATCAGTAGTTTGGATTTGTCGATTCTTTGCTGAGGCTTTGGTTGCCTTTTCTCACTGTTATCTTTATGACTAAGTAACAAAATGAAAATGCAGTACCATGCATTTCTTCTCCTGTATATAAGCAAATCTTTTTAGACATATTTTGTTAGAAAGCCACTTGTCTCATTGGTAGATACTCTTCATGTTTTAAGTTAATTTTATTCAATTGTTTGTTTTTTTTCCTAGAGCTGACGCTTTTCTGTAATGAGTGCATTTTAGGATTTTAAACAAAATAATTTACATTTTAAAATGTAATGTCAGTCTTAGTAAAGTCTATATTTTTGTGTATTAAATTTTAAACCGCAACATATTTTGTGTGACATTTTGAAGCTTTTTCATCATTTTCTGTCATTTCCAGCAGGTGGCCCGATCCTGTCGGGACAAGAGCTGGATTGTTGTCAAATCTTTACGTAACCGGCCTGGGCTCAGTGTCCAGAAATCAATTTAATCCTAAAATAATTATTGTTTGTTTGGATCACAAAGGAGCAAAGGGAAAACTTCAGAGCTGGCAGCAGACTTGGTCCGGGGATAAATGGCTTCCTGTTTGCCTCGGAGAGCGGTTAGCTGGGTCAGCGCACACAGCTACATGCCGTGATCGCTCTCAATAACGGGCCGACAACTTGTCTGTTAAACTGTGGATCCGTGGCGAAGATTACGAGAGAAGACAAAGTTTGACACTTTGTCCTCGTGCCACTGGAAATGTTAGCCTATAAAACAAAAAAAAGGCACAAAAGTCATGAAATAAAACGGAGTTTATGCCTCATGAAAAACGAAAACGGTAAAATGATGGGTTCTCTGAATGGAGCTTGTTGCTTTTGTTTTGTGACTTCAACCACAAAAACAGAAGTGTAAAAAGAGAAAGTGTAAAGTACACCATCTAATGGCGATTTTTAAATATTGTAT